TCAATAATGTTGGAGAGAAAATAAAGTGCAAAAATAGATTAAGCCCAAGTTTGGCATGATTGAAAAAAGATAAAAAGTCAAAAAATCACTATCCTATTTAAGTCACATCATCTTGTTTAAGTCACATCACCTCTCTAACACATCACTTCAAACCCAACCCAAACACAACCCATATTTCATAAAAAGTCAAAAAGTACACTTATTTTGTCTTTCCAAACTAGGCCTAACTGGGCTTTCTCAATAATGTTTGGGTACATAAGAAATTAGAGCATGTGAAACATAGATGTTGATGAAATTTCTTTTTCTCCCGTTATATTTTGAGGACAATCTCCGTAAAAAAATATATATATATAAAAATAATAATTAATTAGCCTCGTTTCTCATCAAATCTTACTATTGTTTATTATTATTATTATTATTATTATTTATGAAAAAAGAAAGGACAAATTGTGATAGTAGTTCTTGTATCTTGGTCCTGGTGTCATTTTGGTTCTTATAATTTAATTGGCTTAATTTTGACATTAAATTTATGATTTTGTTTCAATTTGGTCCAATTAATTATAATTCTTTATAGTTTTTTATGAAAAATATGCTTATATATGGCATGTGTCATATTTATTTAGAGAAAAATTATAAATTTACTAATCTCAGTGAATTAACCTTGTTCAATTCAGTGATTATTTTCGGTCAAATACACTAACAACGTTATCAATTACACCAAATTGATATAAAATTTAAAATTAATGATTAAAATTATATCAATTAAAAGTGTAAGTGCCAAAATGACACAAGGGACCACGGGTATAATTTACCTAAAAGAAATATTTCTCATATTTTTATTTTTATTTTTATTTTTGAATTTTCGCTCGAGCGTAGGAGTGGTCGCTCGAGCGGACGGCTATGTTGGTCTGCGTGCGCTCGAGCGTGGAAAGTGAGAGTGCCCTTGACATTTTTATTAGTGCATTTGGAACCTCCTTATTTTATTTTGGGGTATTGATTGAGGTGGTAATATGATGGTAAAGTAAGATTGGACTAAAAACTTTAATTTGAATAATTTGCCTACGATCAGCCGTCACTCTTTTGCCCTTTTCTTTTTCCACATTTTGAATTTGATGTGAGGCTAGAACCATTGGAAAGCTTGTTTCCGGGGCTTCAATTTGGACACAAGAACGACCTAAAACGGAGTCCAGATGAGAGAGTTATACCTGTTTGAAGTTTTGGAATCTGTCCTGGAAACAGGTATGCTCGAGCGTACCGTGCGAATTCAGCAAGTTTAAAAACACATTTCTAGATCATTCTTCACACTTTTCATCTCCTCTTTTCATCCCTCTCACCTAGGTCTGAAAACCCTAGGTCTTTGACCTCAAATGCCTCCCATTTCCCTTTGGATTGATCAAGATCTTCTACCAAAAAGTGAAGAAGGCTTGAAGCTCGACTTTTTCAACTGATTGGAACTCGAATTTGTGAAGGATTCTTATCAAAGCTTCGTTCTCTTGGTTGATTCTCGAGCTAAGGGTCCTAGTTCTTCTTCAATACTTGCATTAATAGATAAATTTGTGGTATTTTGATTATATAAACGCAAAATCTACATTTTTGAGCATGTAGAGTTATATCATGGAATTTGGAGATTTAGGGTTTGAAATGTTGGAGTTCAATTGTTGGATTAAGCTTGTGGATTATGAACCTTAGGTGTATAATCAAGGGAAAATTTGGAATTAAAAGTAGTGTTGTGAGAAGTTTCAATTTTTCTAGAAAACCTTAATTCTTTCTTGAAAACCCTAAGTTGATTCATGATGATAATTAATGATTTTTCCCAAATTGAAAGTAGAATCATGAAATTGAAGGATTGAATTATATATATACAAGTTTAATTGAATTTTGGAAGTGTATGAAAATTATGTAAAAATTATGGGTTAAACCTTTATTATGGATATTGTAAACCATACTATAATATGAAATGAATATTGAATAGTGCTTCTACGGTATCTTTGTTGTGTGATTTGTATAGGTGGACGTCTGAGGCCTTATATCGACTTAACCCACTGTGAGTAATAACCTTATAAAGATATGTTCAAATTATCTTTACTTTCGAAAGTGTTATTGCTATCAAAATGGATATGTGATTAATTGAATGAATTCTTAAAATGATTTGATGATTGATAGCATAGCTTGTTGAAATGATATGGCCTTTAATGAATGAAGTTCTATTTTGAAACGATATTGTGGCATCCATTGAATATAGGCCCTTGCTTGGGGGTAACAATACCATGGCTATAGGCCCTTGCCTGGAGGTAATAGTACCATGGCTATAGGCCGTTGCCTAGGGGTAATAGTACCATGGCTACAGGCCCTTTCCTGGGGGTAACAATACCATGGCTACAGGCCCTTGCCTGGGGGTAATAGTACCATGGCTATAGGTCCTTGCCTAGGGGTAACAATACCATGGCTATAGGCCCTTGCCTGAGGATAATAGTACCACGGCTAGGCCCTTGCCTGGAGATAACAATACCATGGCCAGTATGATACGTCATCATTGGAATGAAATTGTTACATCATGGATGTACCACATAATTTGACATTGAAAGATCTTAATGATGAAGTAAATGAATTAATGAAAATGTTATCGCATAATGGTTTTTATTATTGCAAGGGATTGATGTGATGGCTAACCGAATTGTTTTGCCTATGGAAAATGTTTTGTTATAAAGTTTGATATAATATGGCAAATGCCTTAGTTTGAAAATGATTTAAGATTCATTTTGAAATTGTAAGACATGTTTTTGTGCTATCGTCGAACGTCATTCATTTAACATCTTTATTCTGTTATTACTCACTGGGCTTTAGCTCACTATTTATATGTATATGTAGGTGAGCAAACTGAGCAACAAGGATAGAGGAAGCCTGGGAGTCTACCCGTGTCAGCCTTATGAAAAGCTTCCGGAATGGAGCGAGTTAGCCTCGAGTAGAGCCAAGAAAATTAGCCCTTAGCTTTGTCAGAGCTTTGAATCTTGCTATCTTGCTGAGTCCTAAATGTATATGTGTGTGAGATATATATAAGATTTGTACATAAATTATTATTGTGTTTAAATGTTTTAATTATTTTAGTCATCATGTATGCACCAGCTTAATGGACATTGTTACTTTTGTTTTGCTTCCGCTTTAGGCCCCGATATGATTATAAATATTTTGAAATTTTTGTTTTTGAGGCCGAAGGTAATCTTAGATTACTGGCCGGTTACGACGCTAAACCTATAGGGGCAGGTTTGAGTCGTGACAGCAAAAGTACTGGATGCTCAAATTTTACGCTTGATGGTCGCTCGGGCCAAGTGCTGAACAAAAGTGGGTTCGCTCGAGTGCACACTTGGTCGCTCGAGCCAATGGCCAAATGATTGTAATAGTATTGAATGACTTCATTTTACACTAGAGTGACGGATTCTTTGCTCGAGCAAACTGGACGAATTTTGAGTTTTCTAGATTTGTGTTTGAAGTTCAAAAACACGCCTTTCAAGTTTAAAGCTTGCATGGTTAGTCTCAAAAGCTTAGAAACAATTTATAAAACATGAATCTTTGGAACAAAGGTTAAAATATCAAGTTCTTGACATGCATGTAACGAACTCAACTCTTTTCTTTCCAAAACATGTTTATTTGAAGTGTTGAGCTCAAAATCATGAAGAATCTCAAGAAATATCCCTTGTAAGTCCCATGCATGTATGAATTTTGAAGAAAACCAAGTTCAGAGATGAAGAACTAAGCATGCATGTACACAATTCACTCAAACTCACTACACTCTTGATGATTCATGCTCATTTCTTCCAATTACATGCAAATGGTCCTACAATATGGTAAATTCATCTTCTTACATGGATTAACTTCATAAATTATTGGCAAAGAGCATACCTAGAACTTGAATTAGGCCTTAGCTAAGTTTAATTTCTCCAATCTTCCTTTAATTCTCTCTCTCTCTCTCTCTCTCTAAGATGTTGAATTCTCTCTCTAGCTCTCAATTTTCAGCAAAGAGTTGAAGCAAAATGAGCTCCTAAGCTCAATTAGGTTGATTAAGGCCTCACTAATCATCTATGCTTAAGTCTAATCAATTGAGCTTAAGGCTATACAATTATAATTAATTTATTCTAATTATTTTGATCCGAATCAAATTTTAATTAAACTTACTATATGGTTCTAAATATTCCAACTTGCTACTAAATTAATCAATTTTGATTTCTGAAGTCGTTTGGGTCCTCAACTTCGAATTCTAAGTCAACAATTAAACAGATATTTCGCAAACGAATAGATAAGTATCAAATAACACATAATCGTGCAATTTATACCACTTGAAATACTATATAAAAATAATATGGAGGTCGGGGTCGTCACAAAAAGTTACTTAAAAGTCAGTCTTTCGTGGTTGTGGTGGTTTGCAAAATTAAGACATGTGAATTGTAATATGTTTATTATTTATGTCATGTAATAATGTAATGTAATGGTTCTAAAAAGAATGCATGCTTCATTTCATATAGTTAAGCACTACTCTGAATGAATGTCGTAAATGGACTTAATATAACAGATAATAGTTTCCGCACATCTATAAAAAATAAATAAATAAAATAAAATTTGCCCCAATTATATTAAGAGTCCGTCTTACTTTTGCTTTGTTAGGCCTTTGGTAGTTGAGGATTACTGACCGATCAACACACCATCCCTGTTTGGGGCAAGTTGGGGTCATGATAGGCATACCTGAAATAGACGTCGTGGGTCGTACCAGACGGGAAGCTAAGGGATGAGATCAAAGTATCCATTGCAAAGAAGCTTGTGCCTACATATAGGGAGTTCTATGATGCCCATTTGGCAACCTTGAGTTGGGAGAAAAATCTGTAATTGTCACTGAGGTATGCACCCTATAATTTGGGGAATTATTTGTCAGATTTGTTCCACGGAACTGCCATTTCAGGGAGTTTCATGTTGCCATCGTCATCATTGTCATCATCGCCATCACATACACATGTATCCCAATGTCTGCCCTAGATGTTTTATAATTCAATATGGCACAGAATGTTTAACATTTTCATAACTAGTACCTGAACTAATTTTTGTATATCCGTGTAACAGTCAGATATTACAATACTTCATTTCAAAGGTTATCTCTACCCCTTCATGGTTCATTGTTGTACTTTAGTCAAACCTACTGGAATAAATTGATTCAACTCCAAACAGTTTAAATCCATAGAGAAAGTATGTTTTGCATGTTCTAAGAAACCACCACTTGCTCGGGTGGCCTTGGAATGGATTGCCAACCTGCGCAGATTTGGAGAACAGTTCTCAAAGAATCCGAGGCAGATTCCATTGTCCATGTTGGATAAAATTCACTTGGATGGAACATGCATTCTTCACCAACCCCGGTTAGTAAGCATGCTTGAGCTCCATTCAGGAACAAGTCCCCTTCAGACCTTATCAAGCCAGACTTGGCCTCTTTCTTGTCTGCTGCCTACAGACCATCACAAAACAAGATCATAACAGTCGGTATAATTGAGGTATTTTCGAACTGAGAACATAGTGCAATATGATATGAACATAATTCAACACAGAAAAATTTATCAAAAAGATAATTGAAGTCGAGACTAGTACTTTATATTTTCATAACATCCATAGGAAGTGGGAGCACAAAGGAGTTCAGATACAGCTCTCAATTAATTCAAAAGTATATATTGAAGAATATATGACAAGCCACTTGAAAATATGAACCTTCATAAAGAAACCGTACTTGTCTGCCCAAATAGCTTAATTGTTTTAATAATCGAATAACATGAATGTGAAACTTTGATGTATTTGATTTTTTTACATTTTCTGGCCATTGCTTGAGGCTACATGTTCTAACTGAAAGCAAATGACCAATCCACAGGTTCATAGTTGAAACACTACAAAAATGAAGTAGCTCACAAGTGATGCAATGTTGTCCTTGTTAAATTTTACCGTCATATATTTGTTTCCCCTCATCTAAACGGCGTAAAACACATTCAACGCCTATGATTCCAAAACTTTATTTTTAAGTACAGAACAAGTATATATGTACTCAAATCTACAGCTTTTTTTGTTTTTTTCCTATGTTGAGAAACACTACAAAACTAAAGTTGCTTGCAAGTGATTTAATACTTCGTTAAATTTGACCATTTTTAAACATTTGTTTTCCTTCATCTAAAGGCTGTAAAATACATTCCCTGCCTAGCAATCGAAAAACTTCAATTAAGGCCTCACTGTACTCAATTCTGCCCTAGGAATAAAATTCAAGCACAAAGTTCTGCAGGGAAAATATAGGGTTTACGTCAACCTACTTGCATAATAGATGCATATATGTAGATCTTTAGACCAGTGTTTTGAAAGGAGAGTTTAGGCGCTCGCCTAAACATGACGTGAGGCGAGGTGACACTGTAGCACCTTGACTGTTTGAGGTGAGGTGATGTGTTTTGGATGCGGCAATGCTTAGTCGACAAAGGCGAGCGCCTCGCGATGACGCTTGAGGCGACCAAAGCCAGCGCTCCACCATTTTGATCTTATTTTTGTAATTTTTCATCTGGGCCATTGAAATGAGATGTATCAAACATCTATCTATATGTGTCTCTCACAGCCCTAACAGCCCCAAATTTGTTTGACATCTATCGGCTTTGACTCCTCTGTTCTTCAACAAAGTGCAGCAAAGCATCTTTGACTCTTCTCTTTTTCTTCACAGGCTCACATAGTCGCAGGCATGCAACAGGTCAGTGTTTGACCCCCCTTCTTCAACTCTTACTCTTCTTCTTCTTCTTCTTCTTCTTCTTCTTCTTTGACTCTTCTATTTTCTTCTTACATTCTTCTATTCTTCTTAGTGTTAAATTTGTACATAGCTTACCCGTAACATCATATACTTTACCGTCATCCATTCAGCAAATGCCACATTAGGGTAAACAAAGACTGAAAAATAAAGACAGTTGTTGAAATTTTAATCTAGCTTAATTTTGATTTAAAACTTTTCAAATTGGGCCCCCCAATGAACCATGATTCCTGAAGCAACAAAGAGGTCTTCCACTAGTTTCGTCTACATAGCTGGTGCCAGCGAACAATTTGTGAAAATGGAAGAAGCTCCTAATGGATTAAAAAATTGACATCTATGTATGATGAATTCAAGTCATATACAGACAGTAGGCAAGGAGAATAATAATCCAGTGGAGCTCTTCCCGTCTTCTCAGCAACCAACCAACACTGCACACCACCGATCGATTGTGTTCACTGGAACTTGTAACTGACCAAAATCAACCGGCTGGGACCATCATCATATACCACTCGCTCTCATTGATTCCTTGCTGGAACTTAGTCGATGTCGTCGTCGAGGAGGGTGCTCAGTGTGCCTTCTCTGCTATTGCATTGGTTGAGGGCTTCAATCGACGATGGTCGCCGGTGTGGCGAGGGAGGGAAGGGAAGGGAGGGTCGTTGGTGTTGGGGCCGGAAGGGAGGGGATGGTGGTCAGTCAGTGGGAGGCGGTGGTTTTCGGCGGTGTATGGTCATAGATCCATAAGAATATGGGGAAGGGGAGGTGCAGATCGGAGGGAGAGCAGGATTGTGAGGGAGGTAATCAGGTGTTGGTGCAAAAGTTTTGGCCAACTTACAAATTTTCTGAGGTGGCCTTATTTAATTGATCAACCATACAAAACAGGATTTATGGTTGATCCATAAATAACTTAGATCACTTCTTCCTTGTTTGCAAAGTAAGGTTTTTAAGAGTATTTGAGGTTGTTTCTGGTCTTAAGGTTAATTTGAGCAAGAGTGGTATTGTGGTCATCTATGAAGCACGGACATGCCGGAATAGGTGTCATAGTGGTGTTGGACACGCGGACACACCAGGGACACGAGGAGACGTACGAGACATGCCAAATGACGTGTCCCTTTAATTTTATTATTTTTTTGCAAGAGACACGCCGGGAACACGAATCACGCTAGAAAAAGTTTAAGAGTTTTAGCCCTAAATCTCAAAATCAGAATAGAAAGAGCGGAGAAAAGAAGAGAAGAGAAAGGTGTTCCCTAATTCGAAGTCGGACTTGCTAGAAGAAGAAGAAGCTTGTTCCAGTCGACCTCGATGTGGACAACCTCGATTTGTCAGGTAAGTGTCTCTCTCTCTCTCTCTCTCTCTCTCTCCCTCCTGTCGCCGCCTCTGGTCACTCATCTCTCGCCTATCGTTTCTCTCTTCTCTCGTCTCTTTCTCTTCCTCTTCTTTATCTCTTCTGATTATAAGTATTATATATAGTGGAAGAAGTTAAAGGATTAACTAATGAAGATTGTGGGTTGTTGGATGCCCACAAAATAATGGTTACTTTTTGCATAATGCTCATAATGATGATGGTGGGCTGATGTAATGGTTACTCTATAGTGGTTGGGATTATTTTTTTTTCTTTATATTTTTTTATATTTTTTTATATTTATAATTATTCCAATATAGTTTTTAATTTCTTTATTTATTTATTTATTTTTCGTCTTTATAAATATAGATGTACTAGTTTTTACATCTATATTAATTTACATAATATTAATTTATTAGTTTGGATTGTTTAGTAACATAATATTAATTTACATAACAAATATATATTAATAAAAAAATAAAAAAAAAATTGTTATGTCCCCCGCCGTGTCCGTGTCCGTGTCTCCATTTTTTTTTAAATGACCGTATCCCATGTCCGTGTTCGTGTCCCTTTCCATGTCCGATTGAAGCCGAAATGTGTTGCATTGAGGCTGGTAATTGATATTTCTTAACCCTCTTGTTGATATAACTTGGTACATTTTACAAGTATTTGATCTTAATCAAGGTTGGATGTGCCTAAAGTGCAAAATGAGTCAGAAAGTGAAGCTTTAACCCAAAACATGCACCACGCATGGAGAAGCATTCCCGCACGGGTGGCCCCCTTCCTCAAGGCCAAATCACACTGTAGTAATCCGCACATGCAGAGGGTTTTTCCCGCACGTGCGGCCCATATTTCCTGCACGTGTGGCTACCTCGGGGTGCGTGCATCATTTTATTAAGTCACATGCTCTGTTGAGAGAGTATAAAGGCAAAAAAAAGAAGGCTTTCCTAAGGTTTAAATATTTTGGAGAAAAAGAGAAGAGATGCTAGGGCTTTGAAGAGAGAACTTGGACTTCAAGGTTGTGCATCATGGCGGCTTCATCCTTTTGATCTTCTCAATCCTCCATGAGCGGCTAGTTCTCCATTTCTAGGGTTTTAATGAAATCTAGCCAAGTAAATACAGATTGTTCTTATGGTTTGATTTGTGTATTGGTTTGAATAAGTTCTATGGATGTTTTAGAAGTTTTTAATAACATTTCTTTTTATCTATTCAAGTGTTCTACCTTCTGTGATTGTTGAATGCTTTCAATACAATTGTTTCCTTTGCATTCGTGTTCAAAGTATGAGATGAGTCATGTTACGAGAGACGAGCCGTGTTACTACTGTAGTTTTTTTTAGAAAACGACTCGTACTACTTGAGATAATTTGTTCCTATACGTTGAACGCAACAATCCTCTTGATCAATGTTTCAAGCTTGTAGTTATGAAACATTGGGTGGTTCAGACTACATCGCAATCAATTCCCATTATTAAAACCTATTTATGTAACTAATGGTGGATTCGTTGCCTTAGGATTTTTTCCCAAAATAATTTCTCAACTCTAGTATTTATTGTTTATCAAATTTCTCATTTACATTTTATCTCGTTTCAATATAATATTCATCAACCATTCTCATCAAATTAACTTAGGAATCTTGCAATTAAAATAGTTAAATTTCACATTAGTCCCCGTGGATCGATACATAGACTTAGCCCTATTCTACGGAATTGGAACCGAATTTAGTTCTTTATGTTTGGTGTGCTAAACGACCTATCATTGTCCGTCGTCCATAGGTGAGCATTAATTTGCAATATAGTTCAAAGCTTGGCAGATATCCTAGGGTGTTCCATCGGGAAGCTTCACGTGAAATATTGGGGGCTACCACTAGGGTGTAATCCTAGAAGTAAATCCTTTTGGATGCCAGTGGTGGAAAAGATAGGTAACAGATTGGAGGGTTAGAAGAGAGCTTTGCTTTCAAAAGAGAGGAGGTACACGTTGATTCAATCCGGTCCAAGTGGTATTCCCATCTATTTTTTGTCCCTTTCAAGGTTCTAGTTAGCATTGCAAAATAATAGAGGGTTTAATGAGATATTTCTTATGGGAAGGAAGGCATGACGGTAAGAAGATGCACTTGTTTAGATGGGAGACTGTTTCAGTCTAAGGATAAAGGGGGGAATGCAATAGGGGGCTTACAATATGCAACACTGTAGTAAGAAATTTTGCCCTTCTCAAAAAGTGGCTAAGGAGATTTCCTTTGGAGAGTGACCCATTATAGCATTCTATTATTAAAAGCAAGTATGGGGTTCAAGATATGGTAGGTCTGCTCATGTGGTTTTTGAGAGGTAATTGTCTATCTCCTTAGA